CCAGCTCTGATTTAAATGCGTGCATTATTGCATGTTTCTTAGATAATGAGGACAATGTTTCCTACTATCCGGGAGAGGTTGCTTGCTATTTCAGACATCATTTAACTTTACCTGAAAGAAATTCCATTAATACACAAGTTGTTGACCATTACTTATGCTTAATTGATTGGTATAAGCCAACAAAACATCGAGGATATTTTGATGTGCAACAAAGTACGGAGAATGACTTTGAGAAACCATATCATGCAGAACTCTGGGGAACCAAATGCACCAGATGGACTCATGAAAGTATTTTACCAGTTCAGAGGTTAATCTGTTGTTTTGTAAAGGGAAAGTATCGACTGAAAGGACAAAAGGATGAATTGAATGTAGTAATTCCCTTGTGTAGGAAATTTTCACTTTAATCATTATAATTATTAACAAGTATGAACTGTCAAGTGAATGTGTGATAATTTTACTAGTTGATTTTTTGGTGGCATTAGAAATGCTGTATCTGTGTACAAAAAGACAAACAAAAAATTATGAGAAAGTTTACAAATCTCATTGTGCAGGATTTAATGTACCAGGTGAATAATATCTTTTCAGAATGTTTACAGTGATAAGAACAAATAGATTGAGCCATTGTTTATGTGAAATACGATGCAATGATGTAATTAGTCAACTTTTATCTTTTATAATATACACTGTGTGACATGACTAAGATCATTCAAATGTCATCGGATGACATAATAGTAGTACAATTTGTTATGTTATGTCTTCATGCATAATATTAATACAATGTAATTTTAACCAAAAAAGACAAACCAATATAAATACTAAGTATGAGAGTGCTGGGAGAAAAAAGATTAAAAAGGGAAACAGGAAAATGTTTGTTCTAGACAGCTCTATTACACTGTACTCAGTTATTATTGGTGCAAAAACAATGCCACATTGTTTCTTTATCATACGTGTACAATTTTTTTGTTTGCATTTGTCTTTTGTTATTATTTTCTTCTGTTGTTTCGACTCTTACATCAATTTAAGAAAATATTATGAGAAATAGACACAGTAACAATGCCGTTGAGACCAATATATCTCAGAACGAACTGAACTCTCTAACGCAAGAGGTGAAAAAATTGGCAAAAAAGAGAGATTTTGATGAGTTTGCCATGATGCAAGTCAGGGCTATTACACAAGTTATGAAAGATAGAGGAAGATATGGAAGAAATGGGCAGCCAGCAAAAGGCATTTCTCAATAGTATAAAAGAAAATATTGATAGCATATTAGAAACTCTCAATGGCTTCAGTAACATTAATAATAATAGTTTGTCACTGTCTTCTTTGAGTTCCTCCTCCGCACCACCAAAGATTCTATATACTGTGCTTACTAAAAAAATGAGCAGCCTTCACAAGCATGCCAAGGCATATTACTTGATAATGCGAATTTGGATGTAGGACTTATTTACGACTTAAATGCTTGGTTTACTGATGACAGAAACGAACTTGTTACAGAAGCATACGTAAAGGTGATGGAGGAAGAGTATAAAGTTCAGGATGAGGACATGAGTACGTAATGTGTAAATTATCTTATTTAGTCAATATCATAGTCTGACACATAATTTTTAGGACAACGAGAGAATTGGAACAGATTTAATATAAGATGAATAGCGCAGACATATTTTGCAACATTAAAGCATGCAGCAGGGAAGTCAGGAGAGAAGATAAAGAATGATGCGACTCGAAGTAGACAAAATAAATGGTTAATAGATGTAAGTAAATTATTTTATCACTAAATGCAATGATTGATGACTAATCAACTTAATTTCACTCCTATTTTAGAAATCAAAAAAATACTGTGACACTATAGATAGATTAGAAGGAACATTGAGTTGTCCTTCAAGTGAGGTGAAGAAAGTGTTTGCTAGTGAGGTTTGTTCACCGGAGATTAGTGGAGATGAAGATGGAGTACGAGTGAGATATGTACCTGTTCTACCATTTTGCTCTGATGAGGTAATTGATTGTAAATCGCTTTGATAGTCAATTGATGTTGTTTGACACATAATTCTACTATATAGTTACTGGACATTCGTGATAAAATAATCAACGAAGTTGAACGATTTAGAAGAGCGGAGATGAAGAAAAAAGGAAAGCATTTACGAAGTTGTCCTGATAGAAGAATTGTTGTGAACACGTATGAAAGGAAGTTTGAAGAACTTAAAGAAATGATTCCGAACCCCTCTGAAAAATATCCTGTCTGGGCGCTTCGTGAGCACACTGAGAGAAATTAGATACAGTTACATTTAGATGTGACAAAAAGGTTTAGCACACTTTAATAGAGCTCATATCAGTTTGTGACCAATGAACGTTGAAATTTAGTAATATATAGTCAATTAATAAATGCTAAATCTATTCAAACAACAAGTAAATCCTTAAGAAACGTCTAGATTAAGCAATTGTTGCTACAAGTTTACATGATGTATGTTAACTGTTTTATTGTAGATAATTATATGTTTGCTTGTTGACTACTATGAATTACTTCTGACATACTGCTGGCATTTCTGCAGTTCATGCTAATGGTTTACACAATATGAACCTGCACCAAACATTAGTATATTACTAGTAAACAGTAGGTATACCACTATGTGACTAGATATATGCACAGGGAAAACCTCTTGCTAACGATATGGATTCCACCAGTGAATTTTCTCCCTTCCCTCCTCCTGATATAATCGTTCAAACCACATTCCATCTCTGAGTTTCTCTTTCTAATTCCTCCCTATCAATCTTGTGATATTGTAATAGATCTCGACAATTTCCCGCCACATGCTAGTAGAGCTTTTACATCAATTTTCTTACAAACATTCATGTGGGTAGGGATCTGGAGGTCTAAGGTGTGAACATCCAACTCCGTACGAACTCTATCATGCAACTGTGTCTGACTTGACCATTGCGCAGTGGGCAACAGCTTATTTTTAGCATATATTGTTATGCTGTCCACCACTACATTCCTTAAAGCATTCCATATTATTCTGTCAGACATAATGAATGGTAGGTCTAATGCAGACAGATATTTGTTCAACACCTTTTTAACTATCTCATTATCTGCATATTGGTCCACCTCCTCCCTATGTATGGATGATCCTATAGATTTTCTATTAATCCAATTATGTTAATAAAACATATCTTAGACAACAAACTCTGAAAAATGTCAATGTTACCTTCTAGCTTGGGTAATTCTATCAGCATGCTGTTTAAACACATTGTTTAGACTGTGCCTGTAGTCTGCAAAACACGAACTTGCCTTCGACAGCAGTCTCTTCCCTGTTATTGTGTTCTTATTTACTTCTGGATATAACTGCTTCGCGACTTCACAAAATAAGAATTCATTATTGTTGTGGGTCTGGAGGAAAAGAGCTTTAAGCTCTACTTGGAATTCTGTATTGGCATCCTTAAGATAAAATGTATTAATACTCTCGTCCTTCTCATTTTTTAACTGTTAGAGCATGAAATAATCTCTCATTTGTTCACAATTGGCAGAATGAATGCACTGTTAGACTAAGACGTGTTATCAGTACATTCCCCAGTTGTTCAAAGATTAAATTACATACCTGGGGTTCATTCCTTGGGCATATCGTGGGTTTATTGTCAATATCTTGCTGTATTAAATAATATTATAGAAATCAGTAACCAGCAAAATGAGATGCGAAGGAATTGATGACATAAGAAGTAGAAAGATCATATGAACTGCATACTATTCCTTATAGCAATAGAACAAGAATATCACTCTTAAAACATCACGCATAGCAGCACATTTACCTGCATCGCATTTACCATGCTGTTAGCCAGCTGCAATATGGTTTGATGATTCACGAGGAAGAGAGCAACGTCATACTCAGTACGACATTTCTTAAATTCACTTACGACGTCATTTTACGACGGTTCACTGATGGGAGATGACGGTGACAAGACGAAAGGCAATGGAGATGGTTCAGATGTAGGTGTTGGCAATCGTGGGGGCGGCGTTATACAGACTTCAGTTGAATCTACATGTAGAATAATACCCGAGTTATAACAATATCTTTAATATATCTTCTTTGTTATTTTTCTTACATTGGTTCTCCATGATAGTCAGGTGAGAGGGAGGCGGCAGCTCGTTATCTACAAAAGAAGTTGATATAAGATCTATTGTTGTTCATCTGCCATCATATAATACATACATGGCTCATTTCTCCGTTGTTTTCTCAGGGTAGAGGGTCTTTTTGCAGATTTTGGCATTTTCGTTTCTCAGAATACTCTTCAAAGGTAGCCGCGAAATGGCGACGATGATGCAAGACGCGATTTCTTTATACTGCATGTGTCATTATTGGTGCATGGTAAGAATGTTTGAAGATATGGTGTTACAGAAGTCATAAGATGGAAAATGATGAGCTTGATTACGTATTTACTATTTATTTCATTTAAATTTTTGATTGCAGGGTGGATTTTATTAGTGAACCCAGTGATAGCATGTGGAGATCGAGAATTATAGAGTGAGAGACAGAGAGGATAAATGATGCAGATTCAATGATTGAAAGAAGAGCCATAACGTGGAGTATTATCACTGGTATATTTGGCAGTTTGTTGGTGGTTGATTCACATATGTTGGTAAAATATATAGCTTACCTATTTTTTCAATTCCTAACACAACATAGAATAACCGGACATGCAAAATGATGACAAATCTCACATTGCATCACCATTATGAAGAAGTAATTCAATACGCTCCAACTCCGAGCAGCTCTGGTTCTGATTACGAACGAACTTCCAGTCCCAATGAGACACATGAATACAAGAGACGAACTGATTTTATTATATTAAAAGACCTTTTGTAAAAATAACTATAACCACAATATGTCCATCTATTGAATGAGACTATATACCTTTTGTAAAGGTAATTATAAGCACCTGCACAATAATAACCCACAACATCTTGTAGTTCTGGTTGGCTTCAAACAGTGAAGCAGGCCCAATGAGGCAAAAAATAAGCCTTCCACAATATTCTACCACATGTTGCCCACTTTTTACAGTACAAATTGAATCAATGCATATTAAATGTATTGAATGCTTAAATTTGACGAATTATGCAAACACATATCTCAATCCCCGCCTGATTGAACACATACTGAGTTACAAGGGGTCAGAGGATATTGAGTATTTCTTCATCTGCATACCATATTTCAAAGTTCATGAAGTTGGATATGTACCATTGATCATTGATATTGATGATATGTCGTCATCTACAAAGCACTCCTGGCAGCTGTTTGGATAATAAGAGTAATGTGGATATGGAGATCCCAAGTAGTGTGGATACTGAGATCCTGAGTAATGTGAAGACAAGTGTGGAGAGTGGTGTGGAGATGAATAGTGTGGAGAGTGGTGTAAAGACGAGTAGTGTGGATACGGAGATCCATCTGATGATACCACTACATCATACTCTCAATGATAATTGCCAAGCAATGGTGATGATGAATGGTGAGATGTATGGTTTGGGTTATATGGTAGAAGGTTATAATAATAAGTAGAAGGAGATGTAGGGTTATAAAGATAAGGAGAAGGAGGAGGCTCTTGCAGCAACAATGACAATTGCTCTTGTTGTTGTTGCAGTAATTGTCATTGTTGTGATAATTGTTGTTGTAGTTGTTGCTGCTGTTGTTGTAGTTGTTGTAGCAATTGTAGTTGCTGCTGCTGTT